TAACAACCAGAAACAGCTGATCACATGGGGATCCCACACGCGGTTAACGAGGGGGCGTGGCACGGATGGAGCGGACGATCGGAGCAGGACAGGGGTAATGTTGGGATAAGATCTTTATCGTTTTGGAAGCCATTAAGAAAAAATTCTCTTGTTTAATCCTGTTAATTTTGTGTTTAAATGCTAAAAAACAAAAACATGTTTAGGTGTAATTTTGGGGGGCCGGGAACCAATTAATTGGTTTTCCATTATTTCTTATGGGAAAAATTTTATCAGAACTCGAACTTTTTAGGATTCGATCCGGAGTCCAGAACAGATTAAGTTCGAGAACCGAGGTACCACTGTATATAAAGCATGTGCAAGTCCTCCCTCAGTCACGTGAGTATTGGCACTGAATGATCTGACATACTGCAAAAACACAGTGACAATGCGGATGCACCCCAGGTCAAAACATCCTGACTCTCAAAGTGACAGCAAAGCAGGATCGGGTGCTCTAGTCTGCCAAATGACCATATATATGGCACAGAACATTTTACCATATTAATGAGTCCATCAAAAAAGGGAAAATGGCATGTTTACTATAGAGTCAAATAACAGGGTCATAAATGTAAGACCACTTTTGGGCATTTTTCCACCAAACCATGTTCACATACCTTCTATGTAGACAGCAGAGAACCATTTTAAAATACTGAAAAAAAGCATTCTATGGCACCCTTAAATCCATTGTTAGACCATCAGTTTAGCAACGTGTCTTTAAAAATGTTTTGATTGACAGCAAACATCCATCTAATCAGTACAACAAGGGTGAATGAAGGAATTTATATTACACAATGAGCGTATTAAAATTCCTATATGGTTCATGTTTTAGTTTTATTAGCAATTTATAATTGAGCATCATTTGACCAGCAGGTGTCACTGTGGCGCCACATTTCCAGCGCCACTACCCAAGCCGATTATTTCCACAAATACGCAGCCTCGTTTTTGGCATCACCATGAAAACCCCCCCCGGGTAGTTAATTCATGCCACACATGAGATGCAGGTTAAACAAAAGGCGATTAAGGATCGCAACCGACCTAACTGATGTTCAACGAGCCTTAAACTAAGCGAATTGACTTCCACCTCATTAGAAAATAAGAAGCTGCATTTGCGAAATGCGCCTTCAAAATAAACAATACGAAATATATACTTTTAAGCTTAGTGTTTAACACAAAGTCCGATTTCAGCATAAACACTCACCAAATGCCCGGACACAGCCCCCACGCACCCGCAGATATACGGTGTTTAATCAGCTTTTCCTCCGCTTTGGGGCACCCGGCGACTAGCCGAAACGCCTATGGTAGACAGACGAGCTCCTGTGAACCAGTGCGCCTCCTACAGCCCCGGCGGTGTAACGACAAGAAGCTCCGTTACAGACCCGTTACAATGGCTGGAACAACACAATACCAGATTGTATGTAAAGAAAACAAACCGACCTTTTACCGATTATGCATTTTTAATTACGTTATATATTTGGCAGATTGTTTCATTATTTATGAACAACATTTAATTCACCCAAGTATACTAGAACAAACTGGTGTAAGGTCTATTTCGGTTGCCCAATCTTTTGTACGTTTCAATATCTTGAACGTACAGTTCCGACGTTTAAAACGTTATTGTTTAATATCAAAGGGGCTTCAGACAGAAGCCATTCAACGATAAAGAATTTATTTTACTCACACCTGAAAATAGTTCCTAATCATTTCAACTGGGCAACATGTACTAAGAAGCACATTTATATTTTTATACATTTTCTCTTCGACTTCCAGGGTCATCTCATCTACAACGTCCATATGAGTAAAAATGCATTTCTGTTTTTTGCTTTTTAAAAAATAAATTCCTCCTTACACAGTAAATATTTCTATTGCTGATACAGCAGATTCTATAAAACAACTCTGACAAGGTACATGATAGTTTAATAAAATGTCATGCAGAAGCACGTGATTCCACCAATGACATGGATACCATGGGACAGTTTAGCAATTAGTGTTTTAATCATGAGACATAAAACATTTTAACATGGTTTTCCTGGCATGTCTGACTCGGCTTCACATAAAGTCTCTGGTGTCACTGGAATGAATGTACACTCAGTAACAAAAAACATCCAGGAGTAACAGTCTGATTTGGATGTAATTTGGTAGACATGCAGACCAGCGATGGGTATGTCAATGATTCGATTTGCAAGGAGCTGGCACGTCTAGTCACCAGACACAGAGGATGCCTCGTAGATGCATTAGACAGCATTACCAGCACCAGCAGAGTTTGATAGGGGTCACATTGTGGATTTGCCTGAGGCCGGGTGGTCAGATCGTGCAATTGCCCAGCCTGTGGGGCATGCAGATGTCAGTCACCTGATGTTGGAACCAATGGGCACGTGAGGGCACCATCACACGTCGTTAAGTTTCCGGTTGCCCAAGACAGACCACACCAAGGGAGGGTCGTCGTGTTGCGTGCCAAGCATTACACAAGCCCATGACATCTATGTCTGCCATCTGGACACAGGTATTGGACTCGCTGCAACACACCGTGTCATCCCGCACCGTGTCCTGACAACAGGCATCAGCCGGACAACGGTTCACCATCCCATGCGTAGGTTGCCATTAACACCAGCGCCGAGATGTTTGCATTTGGAGTGGTGCCGTAACCGGGAGGCATGGACTGATGACGAGTGGCGTCGTACCATGTTCAGCAATGAATCTCGGTTTTGCATAAGTACAGATGACAGTAGCGTGCACGTATGGTGGCACCGAGGGGAGAGGACCGATCCTGCCAATGTTGTGGAGACACACCGGCGTTACTCCTGGCACCATGGTCTATGGACTGCCTGCGTCATGTTGAGGTCCTCCTGTGGCCAGCCAGGGCCCTGATCTTTGAGCTGTGGGCTGACTTGCTGCAGGAGAGGATACAACGGCTGCACGACTGCCTTCCGTACCGTATTGCCGCATGTATCCAGGCCCAGGGGACGGTGGGCGCGCCACACCCTACTGACATGGGACCAGCAGTGTGCCCATACTGCCAACTCTGTTGTCCATTTCATCTGATATTAAAATCATTGCAGCAGTCACATGACCTTTCACCATGTATAGATTCATTTCATTTCCACCACTCTGTCTGGGCGCTTAACTTTATTTTGTCACTAAGTATATTTTTTAAAAGAACGGGCAAAAGCATTGAAGGTTCTTCTGAAATACCCACATGGCGTCTAGGGCTTCACTGACCTATCCAGTCTGAGGTAGGTGGCAGCAGCTGAATATCTTCAAAAAATTGCTGCTGCTACTTACAGCTAAAGAGTCTGTCTGTATGGATGCGCTGGTGCCTTTTCAGGTTGCACTTCTGCGTGAAGCGCTTGCCGCAGTCGATGCAGACGTAGGGCCTCTCGCCGGTGTGAACCCTGCGGTGTGCCTTCAGGTTGCTTAGCTTGGTGAAGCTCCTTCCACACATGGAGCAGATGAAGGGTCTTTCCCCGGTATGAGTCTGCATGTGTGCCCTCAGATGGCACGTGTGGGAAAAGCTCTTCCCGCACTGTGCACAGCTGTGAGGACTCCTCCCTGACTGTGCTTTAAGCTGAGCCTTATTAACCATCGGGGTGAAGCGTTTCTCCGGGGGAGTGGATCCCAGCTGCCCCTGTACTGTGTTAGCCTGACGACGGGCCTCCACGTTCCCCGACACTAGGAACACAGCGCCCCCCTGCAGTTGCTTCCTGACCTGTCCAGGCGGGTCCTCCGCATCAGAGGAGTCACCGGGGTGCCCATGCTGCGTTAAAGGCCCATGGGGGGCCGGAACTGTGTGGATATTTTCTTCTTTGTGCTGCTGCTCCTCCAGCGCGTGCAGCACGCATGGCCGAGGTTCTTTGGTGCAGTCGCACTGTGTCTGCTCTTCGTGTTTAATCGGGACGTGGCCCTTGAGCTCGTTCTGCAGTTTGACTGCCCTGAGAGGAGGCAGACTCTCTGCATGCAGTTGGGGCTCAGTCTGCAGGGCGCCGCCCTCTGAAACGCTGCTGAGCACCTGTGCTCCTCTCTCATACATGACGCCCTCGTGTGGTGCCTGTATGCTCCCCTGCTGCTCTGCTGCCAATGGCTGGGTACCTCCATCCTCGCTCGACATCCATTCCTGCTCACAGCATCCCCCACGAATGCTGTCATCATGGACTCCTGAGGTACAAATGCAGATGAAAGTGATTTAGCTTTGTGGAAGCAGAGTAAAGTCTATGCTTCTTGAAGGCGATCCACCCATTCTCAACCCCACTTGCATTTTCTAAATGCTCCAGATGGCTTTAACCCTTTCTCACCCCCAGCTGGGCCTCAGTCACACATTCTGCTGTCAAATCATGTCTTTGTTCCAAGTCGTATTTAAGTTTTTCTTCCACACCTTGAAAGGATAGTCTGCTTTATTTATTAGCCACTAGATTCCAAAACAAATTCAATCTAGAATTTATTCAATCACAAAACAAAGACGGCCAGCTGCTGGCTTTCGTGACACAGCACTCCACATAATAATTAGAATTATTATGGCAACAGTAAAGTCCACACATCACAATTAGAAAGCCATGAAAAGTAAACACAAGTGTTCATTGGAGGGGCTCACCATACGACGTTGTCCTTAAGCACGGGGTCTTGTCAGGCAGCTCCTCTTTGAGGGCTTGGTCTCTCCTGCTGCTCAGGAATGCTGCTTCCTGTTGAGGTGAAAAACAGCAGTCTCCATGACGAAGAAAGGGGGGAGTGGTCTGCTGAAAGGGGGAGAGGTCTGCACATCCAAACCACATGATGGGGAAGGGGGGAATGGTCTGCAGTTCCAAACCACATGATGAATGAAGGGGGAGTGGTCTGTAGATCCACACCACATGAGAGCTGTGTCTGAATTCTGGGGCTGCATCCCACAAAAGTTACACAGCCTGGATCCTTCAAAGGTTCTTTAATGAATCTTGGGATCTCAACAAAAGAACAACACATTTCTAGGCTGCATCTGAAGGAGCCTTCGAAATGGGATGGCCTTGTCGCACCCCTGTGATGCATTCGGTCTTTGAATGCAACCTTAGAAGGATGCAGCATCTGAATTCAGACAGAGCTGATGCAGAAAAGGGGAGAGGTCTGTACAAAGGGGGGGGGGGGGGCTTGCAGATCCATACGGCATAGTGCAGAAAAGGGAAGTGGTTTGCAGATATGGGGAGTGGTATGCAGAAAGGGGCAGAGGTCTGCAAGGTGGGGGTTCTGCAGAAAGGGGGGTCCTGCAGAAAGGGGAGAGGTCTGCAGAAATGGGGAGTGGGCTGTAGATCCAAAACACATAACACAGAAAGGGGGTGTGGCCTGCACAAGCATACAGCACGATAGGCTCATGTTGAAAGTTTCTTTTGAAAAATGGAAAAAAAGGTAGAAAAGAGCAACAATTTGCAAATACAACATAACCAGAACCAGAACCGTGAAGCAGGATCTCACCAGACAGCCCTGCCTAAACATTGTCCACTTTCAGGACATTTCTTTTATGACAGATGACACTAACCACTTATTGCATAGCAACTATTATAACTATGCATTATATAGAACACACCTCCAGTGAATTGTCAGTGCCTGGCGGCACCTCCTCATCGAGGACCTTCGTCAGAGGCCCCACATCCTCCCTGGGACAGCCAGCCCACTTGATCTCCTGAGCTCCTTCCTGCTTTAGGCCGCGGCCCTCCGTCACCCCTGGCCAGGAATGCCCAGGTCATAACACACAGTCAGCAGGCTGCTCTGACTCAGCTTCACAACATGGACTCACAACGTTCAATGGCGGGAGCCCTGCTGTAGCCTCCTAAGCACATTACTTGAGCTGAACTGCTCACGTAAAAAGTATCAAACTGCATTAAAATTTTAATCGAGTCACTCTGCAGGACGCTTTGTCTAAAAAGGTCAGCACAGAACAGCATGCCTCCAAAGGGATTTGACTCTACACAAGCATGAACAAAGAGGTGCGTGATGTAGCGCTGACCATGAGCGGGTCCCGGCGATCTGTCCTCCGTCTGCCCCCAGTCAGCTTCGGCCCCAGCTCGGCCGCACTCGGCACATTTCGCCCTGCCAGATGCCTCGCGCTCCTTGCGCTTGCTCTCGGACCACTGCAGGCGCTTCTTCAGGGTCTCCACCTGCTCCCTGCTCCGGGACACCTCTTCCAGGAAACTGTCCTCCACAAGCCTGACGATCTCGTACATGGCTGCCTTGAAGACCGTCTCCATGACGCCGGATAGCTGCGCCTGGAACGCCAGGATGGCCTCCGACATCTCGGTACTTATTCTACTTTTCCAATTCTTCGGCACAGCTTCTGTGTCACAGGGGGGCGGACCTTCGCTCATAAAATATAATATTCTGGTAGGAAAAACTCTGACTTGAAAATTAAAAATAAAACAAAACCAGTGTGCAAAAGCATGTCACTCCTTAAGGCTCGACAGACGCACGCAGTTTCCCACTCGCTTTCCAAACCGGCATGACTTTTGTGCCTTTAAATGAAGCAGTCCAGGCCTTTTGAAATATTTTGCCGTGGAGATAAGCACCGCAAAAACAAGGTAATGTGGACACATGTGATGAGCGCTGGGTGACATTAACCCGCTGGCACCGGCATTAATTGTGACCCGCGATTTGCAGCTCTCGGAAAGCCGCGATCCTCACGGCGAGCTTCTGCTTCTCTTTTTCACCGTATGAGGTGGCAAACGATGAGGTCGTTAGCGAGGGATCAGGCTCAAAAAAGCATTCTCTTCCAGCTGATGCTATGGGCTGCCGGTCAGGGCCTTTGTGACCGCACTACGATGTCCCCATGGAAACATCGCACCTACGGCGGCCCTGCTGGATCAATCTCAATAAAGCGTTTGCCGTACAAATTCCTCCTGGTATAGACAGCCTCGACCCCCAACCCCGGTGCTATGTGTGGCACACTGGGAACAATATTGTTCTGCCTAACTGGCCTCATCATTTATTAAGTATTGTCAATATATTAACTGAGAAAACCATTTGAATTATTAATTTAATCTTAAAATCCCACTAACCAGAATTACACGGTTATTAGGAGGAACAACTGGAGAAAAAATGCAGTCACATCCCCAAGCACATTCCGCTGCTAAGTGCTCCATTCAATGTCCACTTCTACATATGGCTATAGATTTAAAATGCTGCAAAAAAAAATTAAGTGATCTACTCGATAAAAGAACGTTTCTGTGCGTTTCCTGTAATGCTCTGGCGCCCTGTGCAGGGTCTCCTTGCCTTGTACCCTGTGTTCTGGAGAGGATGCAAACTCAGCGCCACCGCACAGCACAGTTACAGAAGGAGGAGGGGCAGAGCAAAGTGAATCACAGCAGACAAGGTGACCTTTCACAATGTGACGCCTTCACAGGGAATGAGACACACAGCAGAGTTATTCATGAAATCCTTAAATAAATCCTTTATTAAGGCACAGCATGGCACTTCAATCCCAATGGCACACAGCTATTTACACACACACTCCTGAGCTTGGAGCAAAACTAACAGCTTTCATACTGATTTATGAGATGTATTACTCGACAATGGTAAGTTTTTTACTGTAATTTTACTTCTTTTTAAGGTCCAACACAGTTTTGTATCTGAATTTGGCTTTAGATACACACTTGCCACATCTCTGCCACAATCACAACCACAATCTCTGCCACATTTTTAACTTTTCAGAATTTCACATTTACTGGGCCATAAAACACTGCATTAAAATGTGTTTTATCGGCTCGGAGGCTTGATGTATTCTGCATAAATTTTCATTATTTGAGCTGTACACATAGCTTATCCAATTGATGATTAAAATTTCAATCCAAAATGTTGTAGAATGTTTAGATAAACAACTGGAATAATACAGGTTTCAAACATAAATACATAAAAACAGACTGAGAAGAAAATATTATTCTTCTGTATCAGGGTTATTCAAATCACCGTCCTCGAGGTCCGAGCCCTGCTGGTTTTCCAACCTTCCTTTACCTGTCAGTCAGGTGTGAAGCCTCTGACCAATCAGAATCAGTAATTATTAAACAACTCCCTGGGAGAACTGAAAACAAGGCCTGGATTTGGAATCGAGGTCCAGATTTGAAGAACCCTGTTCTATATAAATGTTTCTAATTTTTAGATGAATATTTGGTCCTTTCATAATGCCGCAAAACAAAAAAGCAACAAAATATATATAGAAGTAAAAAGCATAAAACAATAACATTCACAAAATCTGAAATATCCAAGTATGTTTATGGAATTTCCCATTTTTTCTGCAGTTTCTGTTCTGTTAAGTGTCAGTACGGCTGCAATGTCACACCTCTATATCCAGTGCATGAAGCATAAACAGATAGGGTCCATACCAAAACGTGACCATTAATAGTGGACTAATGTTCATTCCGATTGCTTTTTAAAATGAACAACTAAAAGCATAAATTTAAAAGAAAAACTATACACTACAATTCCATGCTAAAGAAGAACATGTAAAAAAGATGAAAAGACACCAAGAAAAACCAAGAATCTGCTTTTATTACTATATAATTTCCGACGATAAGACGAAATACTGGAGCCTGGCTGGTATTTAGTTTTTGAAGGCTGCACATGCTCTACAAAACCCTACTGGAAAGGGTGACTTTTCAACATTTTCAGGTCTGCTGCGGTTTGTGTTTCCGCTGGTGCGATTTAAGGTGGTCCAGCCTCTTGAAGCTCAGTCCACAGAGTGTACAGCAGTACGGCCGCTCGCCGGTGTGAGTGCGCTGGTGAACTTTCAGGATGTCGGCACGAGTGAAGCTCTTCTCGCACTGAGTGCATCGGTGGGGTTTCTCCTGCGTATGAATCCGCCGGTGCAGCTTGAGGTTCCACAGTCGGCTGAACTTATTCCCACAGAGCATGCAGCAGTAGGGCTTGTCTCCTGCGTGGCTGCACTTGTGCTTCTTGAGGTCTGAAAATGCCACAAAGCCTTTCCCACAATGGCTGCAGAGGTGAAGGCCGTCTCGCGAGTGAATCCGTTGATGCACTTTCAGGTTGCAGGCTTGCGTGAAGCTCTTCCCACACTGTGTGCAGGTGTAGGCAGCGCCCGCTTTGTGAGTGCTCATGTGCGCCTTCAGGGAGGCCGAGTCAGGGAAACTGACACGACACTGAGCGCAGCTGCGAGGCCTCTCCCTGACACCTGTCGGGGCTGCGTGAAGCCTCTCTGAATTCAGCTCGCCGCTTCTGTCGACTGCCATCTGAGCCTGGTCATGAAGCTTCTTCTGCAAGCGTTCTCCTCCATCCGCTGGCCCCAACTCGCCCTGTCCCCAGAACCCATCTCCTGCATCTTGCAGGTAGCCGTCCTCATTGATCAGGAGGTAGTTCAGTTCTCCAACATCCACATCGTGATGGGGAGACAGTGAAGGGGCGCCCTGCTGATTGCTGCAGGCCGCCCTCCTGCTCCGCAGCGGGCCGGGGAGAACAGGGGCTCGCTCCTCCACCCTGACGGCTTCCAGCTCTGTCTGCATGCGAGCCGGAGCCCCGAAGGCGTCATGCAGAGCCTGGCTGCCCAGCTCTCTGACATCGAACACCGGGGTGAAGCACGGTGCCTTGGCCTCTGTCCTGAGGGCGTCCTCCAATCCACAAATCGCCTCCGTGTCGAAGCTGGCTCCGTAGGGCAGGTGCCCCTTCAGGGGCTGCTGGCTGGCCTGCCCCGAGCTGGGGGCCCAGTCCTCAGCAGAGCACTGCGCTTGCTGCTCACCAAAATCCACGTGCAGGTGAGCAGGGTCACCTTCCTCTGCTGTGCAGAGGAGAAAATCAGACGCCCAGGTTAACAGTAACCAGAGAGCTCGAAATAAATGACGCTCTTTCCTAGTACGTACCCTGCAAGGAAACAGGCCATCGTTCTGGGCCCCTGGGGCTTCCTGCAGCCAGCTGGAAAGCCTCCTTTTTCAGCTTATCCCCTTCTACATGTATGGCCTGTTACAAGAAGTTGGGGATATGAAGTAATTTCCTGAACACAAATTCACAAGTTTTACGCAATAAAATATGACACTTATAAATGAAAGAATTTCCTCCTGGGATCAATAAAGTATTATCTTAGCATATCTCCAATTTAATCACACAAGCAAAAGAGCCAGAATTAACTGGTCATTTGAATAAATTTACACACCGCTGATAACTTGTCAGTGCCCAGCACCGCCTCCTGGTCCAGGACCTTCGTCAGAGGCTCCACATCCTGACTGGGACAGCCAGCCCACTTGATCTCCTGAGCTCCTTCCTGCTTTAGGCCGCGGCCCTCCGTCACCCCTGGTCAGGAATGCCCAGGTCATAACACACAGTCAGCAGGCTGCTCTGACTCAGCTTCACAACATGGATTCACAACGTTCAATGGCTGGAGCCCTGCTGTAGCCTCCTAAGCACATTACTTAAGCTGAACTGCTCACGTAAAGCATCAAACTGCATTAAAATTTTAATCGAGACAGGTGCGTGATGCAGCCCTGACCATGAGCGGGTCCCGGCGATCTGTCCTCCGTCTGGCCACCGTCAGCTTCGGCCCCAGCTCGGCCGCACTCGGCACACCTCGCCCTCCCGGATGCCTCGCGCTCCTTGCGCTTGCTCTCGGACCACTGCAGGCGCTTCTTCAGGGTCTCCACCTGCTCCCTGCTCCGGGACACCTCTTCCAGGAAGCTGTCCTCCACAAGCCTAACGATTTCGTACATGGCTGCTTTGAAGACCGTCTCCATGACGCCGGATAGCTGCGCCTGGAACGTCAGGATGGTCTCCGACATCTCGGTGTTACTTATTAATATATACAGACGGAGTTCCCTCCTTACAGATGCTCTGCGTGAGGGCTGCAGTACATAAATTTTGAAATCACCACTTAGCTATCTACATGTGGACTTCTGTTGTATTTAACTATGGCATTTTGCCTCTTTGCTGCAAAACCCCTCCATCACCGAAAAGTCTACTAATGTTCAGCAATCACCTTCGTGCAAATGATGTCAGAACATTTATTAAACAACGTCAGCTAACTAGCTACGTATCTGATGGAAAACGATGGTGATTATAACAGTTCAATGCTGACAAACAACACGAATCGTTGAAATTTGTCATATAACCGCAAACCGGTAGACCCTGACGAATAAAGCAATATTATAGTTATTCTGCTAACGAGTTAACTACACCGAAAAGACATTCCGTTGTTCCACCCTCAAACTTCCCGATTCATCCCGGCAGCTACCTACGGAAAACCAGACTGGACAAACTTCCCAAATGGAGATATTTACCTACGGAAAGCCGCTATGAACAAACTTCCCAAATGGCGATATTTACCTACGGAAAGCCAGACTGGACAAACTTCCCAAATCGAGTTAGTTACATACGTAAAGCCGCTATGAACGAACTTCTAAATTCGTGGTAGCTACCTATGGAAGGCCTCATTGCGAAATCCAAATCTCGGCAGGTTTCTATGGGAGCAAGATTTTGTCATGCATTTACATTTTTAATTGGACATCTTAAATCGGGAAGGTGACTTGTTCAAAAAAAGACTGTGCAAATATGCAGGCTGATTTCCGTCATGGAACTTTTATTTGGGGGCTGCAGTGAGCAAATCCACAAAGTGGTGCGGCAGTGGCTGGGGACTGGCACGTCAGAAAGGATCCGCTGCAGCACCTTCTAGCACACCGTGGTGAAATAACCCAGCGGCTAAAGGTGCGCCAAGAGCGCTCACTGGTGGGGTTAGGCAGAACCGTTCTTGATGCTGTGCAATTTTGCCACCATCAAACTAATATACCTATCAGCCATAACATTATTACCACCTGCCTAATATTGTGTAGGTCACCCTCGTGTCACTAAAAGAGCTCTGAGCTGTCAAGGCATGGACTCCACAAAATTCCACAAGATTTGGCCCTTGTCAGTGTTGCTCTGATAATTACGCTTGCCCATTTTTCTTGCTTTCAAGACACCATATTCAAGAACTGCCTGTTCACTGTTCACTGCATTCATTTTTAGCTTTTCTTTCTCACACTGTGTTTTATCAAAGGGGGGAACTTTAATATATATTTTTTTTTAATCTTTTCTTCTTATTTTTTAATTTATTAGAGAGTGTGCATGTAAAAGTGTAATCCGACCAGCAACAAGCTCATCCCTGTGATTATTTTAATCTGTGCCAAGCAGGCTTTGACCCCTTATACAGCCTGACAACCTGCTGGGGGGCCGGGGACCGAAGGGGGGTTGCTGGCCATGAGAGATGATAAGGGAACAATAGAAATGGATGTCGCTAAGAGGATTGGGGACCAAAAAAAACAGGAAGCAGGGGATTAATGAAGGGGGGAGGTAGCGATGACAAGTGTACTGGGACAGAAATTAGGGGCATGCTACAGTGGTGATGAGGAGTGCAGCGGTGATGAGGACCACGGTGGTGATGAGGAGTACAATGGCAATGAAGAGAGCACTGGCAATGAGGAGCGCAGTGGGCAGACAATGAGGAGCATGGTGGCANTGAGGAGCGCAGTGGGCAGACAATGAGGAGCATGGTGGCAATGAGGAGCGCAGTGGGCAGACAATGAGGAGCGCAGTGGGCAGACAATGAAGAACCTGGTGGCGATTAGGAGCCCAGAGGGCAAAAAATGAGAAGCCTGGTGGCAATGAGGAGCATTGTGGGTAGACAATAAGGAGCCAGGTGTGCAATGAGGAGTGCGGTGGAGATGAGGAGTGTGATAGTGATGAGCAGCCCAGAGGGCCTAAGAAGTGAATAATACATTGGGTGGAATTCACTGTGATCCAACTAACTCCCAATGACCCAGTCAGAGGATCCCTGTCCACTACCTCCTTATTAAGAAGGAGGAGGTGAAGAATTTTCCAGCACTCTTAGTGTGCGGACAGCTTTTGTCAGGCACCTCTCTCTGGTGTTTGTCACTCATAGTTGACTTATTATATGTAGGCAGCACACGTAGAGTATACACAGTTAATCCATCTGTTCCGTTTTCTGTTTTTATTCATTTAACATTTCACTTCAAGTTTTTTTGTATATATAAGTAAACATTCTCTCAGTACATCGCTTTTGCGTGGTTTTGGAATTAGCATCTTTTAATGGGCAGAGAGGAAGAAGAGACTGAGCGTGGGAGGGAGAGCAGCTGAGGGGGGAGAGGGAGAGGGAAAGGACAGCGTGTATGTGACCGACGTGGATAGATGCTCTAGCAGAACTGGCTGTGAACGGGATGGACAGACCACAGGATTCAAACAAGGCAGTTAAACAGGTGAGATGGTGTGTGTAAACTGGCGATATCTCTCTGCCTGTTCAGATCAGCAGTTAACGGGTGAGCCTTTGCATGTGTCACTGTCTTTATGGTGAATGAAAAGGAGATGGTTGGGTCTCTGTTAGCCCAGCACCTGAGAATCTTCATCTTTACTTCTGTGAGTGTGAGCGAGCTTGTGTCTGTCGCCAACTGATATGCTGGGGTCCATGTGTGAGTTTGGCATTGAGTAAGGTAGCAAGCCAGTTAGCATGTGATGGCATGTCAGTTAGCATGTGATTGCATGTCAGTTAGCATATGATGGCATGTCAGTTAGCATGTGATGGCATGTTAGTTAGCATGTGATTGCATGTTAGTTAGCATATGATGGCATGTCAGTTAGCATGTGATTGCATGTCAGTTAGCATATGATGGCATGTCAGTTAGCATGTGATTGCATGTCAGTTAACATATGATTGCATGTTAGTTAGCATATCATGGCATGTCAGTTAGCATGTGATTGCATGTCAGTTAGCATATGATGGCATGTCAGTTAGCATGTGATTGCATGTAAATTAGCATGTGGTGGCATGTCAGCATATGATGACATGTCAGTTGGTATGTGATGACATATAAGTTGGCATGTGATGTTAGGTCAGTTAGCATGTCAGTGAGACTTTCTCTTAACGTCTCAGCCATTTATGAAGCACAAGAACGAGCAGCAACGAAGGTGGAGCAGCTGTTCCAGCGTGAGTGTCGAAGGCAGAGGTGGAGGCAACAAGAGACGTCCCCGCAGCAAAACCCAGAGCCTGTCCTCTGCCCCTAGGGGAGGCGATGACAAGGAGAAGAGGCAGTTCAGGCACATCATCGCCTCTGTATTTGGTCAGGTAGGTGTGTAAGGGTGTGGCTTGGTGGTTAGTGTACTGCATTCTGTGCCTGAGTGCTATGCTGTCATGAGGAAAACAGCAGGGGTGTGGTGTTTAAAGCACTGCAGTCTGAACCAGAGGCTGAAATGGCTGTAACTGCAGAGTGGTGAGTGAATGAATACTCCTGGGGTCATCTGATCCTGCTTTCTCCTAAAAAGAACAAAAAAATCTACATTGATTTGGAAAAAATAAATTACATGTAACTGAATACCTCACATTTACTAAATGATGTTAGCAGAAATGTCACTGGAGTGCAGCTCCTGGCTTTTCACCAAGCCAGAGAGGCCCAATGAAGACAATTAAAAGGGTATTAAGTGTCCTGTCTGTCAAACAATTCT